TGTATTATTATTATTTTTAGAGGCAGAGTCTAACTTTGTCACCCTTAGTAGAGTGCTGTGGGGTCACAGCTCACAACAACCTCCAATTCCTGGGCTTAGGTGATTCTCTTGCTTCAGCCTCCTGAATAGCTGGGACTACAGGTGCCCGCCACAATGCTCAGCTATTTTTTTGTAGCAGTTTGGCTGGTGGCCAGGTTTGAACCTACCACCCTCAGTATATGGGGCTGGTGCCCTACCCACTTAGCCACAGGCACTGCCCTTAATCTTGTATTATTACAAGTCATTTTATCTATATAAAATGCTGCCTTTAATCTTGTATTGTTACAAGTTATTTTATCTATATAAAATGACACAATATGGTGTGTACATGTAAATATATATAATGTGTATGTGTATATATATATATTTTTCTTTTTTTTTTACATGATAGAATTAACAGGGCTGCCCTGAGGCAAAATAGTGGAACCAGGCCGGCTTCTTCTCCCCAGGTACCCAGCACCTTTGTCCTTTTTCTTAAAGAAAATCATTTGCATAAAGTTGCTGGGAACATAACAAAATAATACACACAGAAGAGCACTAAGTCTTGTTAAATTTCTCTTTAAATCAACATTGTCTGTGAGGTAGCTAGGAAAGGCATTAATAGCCTTGTCTTCAAGATCAGAAAAACAAGCACCTGTGAACTTCAGGACTTGATATACGTCACACACTAATGAACAGAGAAGGGATCCAAACTTGTCTTCTTACTTTAACACCAAGTGGTCTTCCTCCTGGGAGTTTTACATCTTAAATGAGGAGTTTAGGAGATGGTGGACAGTGAAGCTTCATACGAAATGGTGAACTAGTGATATGGGACTTTGGGTTTTGAAGGAAGGTATTTGGGGAAGGAACTACCTTTCCAAAGAATCCAGTCTCTTCTACTGCTCCACCAGGAATCTGAGGTGAACTGATGAAGATCTGCCTCAGCAAAGGAACTGGCTGGGGAGATTTTGCAAAGGAAGAACTAGCAGAATGTAGGGATTTGCTGGACATTAGAACAGAGGAAGAGGCATTGAGGAAGATGCCAAGATTTGAGCTTGGGTGAAAGGAAGACTTCAGGCTTGGAACTGACTTTGGGGGAAGGATAACAGTACCATCTGCCTTTGTAAAACAAAAGGCTCTAGGTAGAGGTGTTGAGTGGTCATTTGAAGATTCAGGATTACCACTCAGAAAAGGAACCTATAAGGTTGTGGAGTTAGGAATCACTGAGGTAGAGGTGATGGTAGGGAGGGAGGTCATGGGAGTAGATGGGTAGAGAGACAGAAAATTGGAAGTGAGGCATGGAGAGGGTCAAAGATAGTGTCTTGAAGGTAGAGTCATGTTCAGGGTCACGGGAGAAGGAAAAGACAGAAAAAAGAGAAAGATAAGAAGTAGGAGAGAATAAGGGGATGATGTAGTGTCACCAAAGTCTAATGGAGAGTCCCCCCAAAGAAGGCAGGGCTGGTCCGCGGACTAGAGGTTGCAGGACGCAAAGGAAGGTGACAATTGAGAAAAGGCCAACAAATATGATGAAAGCTGAGAGCATGTTCTGAATTAAGTGGTTTGGACAAAAATCAGGCTAAAGGATTATGAAAGGGGTGGGGTATTTATAAAATAAGCATGCATCACTCCATTACCTTATGCTCCTCTGCTGGGGTCACGAGACCCTGAACATGGCAAAACAATGGGACACACCCTCCACCCTTCCTGCCAGTTCAAGTCCCAGCTTCCATTCTTTTTTTTTTTTTTGTAGAGACCAAGTCTCACTTTATCACCCTCCCTAAAGTGCTGTGGTGTCACACAGCTCACAGCAATCTTCAACTCCTGGGCTTAGGTGATTCTCTTGCCTCAGCGTCCCAAGTAGCTGGGACTATAGGCACCTGCCACAACACCTGGCTATTTTTTTGTTGCAATTTGGCCAGGACCGAGTTTGAACCTGGCACCCTGGGTATATGGGGCCAGCGCCCTACCCATTGAGCCACAGGCACCACCCAGCTTCTATTCTTTTGCAAGTATATACTACATCAAATCTTCTGCTATTATTTAAACTTCCTTCTTCTTAAATAAAAATATTGACAAGATGTTGTAATACAATGCTCTTTGCCCTCCACCACCCTATGCCCATAATCCTACATAGCTTTGTGATTCAAAATATTCATAGGGAAGTCCCAGTGATAATGAGAGGGCAGTGGGGAGGAGAAAGGAGAATGAGACAGATTATGTGTGTGTTTAATTAAGATATGCTGTGCACAAACAGCAAAGTGCACACATCTTACTTGTATAGTGTATGCTGTGTAACTACCAGCCAGACACTGATATAGAAAATTTCCAGCACTCTAGAAGGCTCCCTCAATGTCTGTGATTGCGAAGAACTAATCCAACTCCAGAGAAAAACCTTGGTGGGAAGAAGGAAGGGGCAAACCTTGGGAGCAGTAGAGGCAATAGTTTTTGATACATTTACCCCCTGTGGATAATATTTACATGAACTGTTCTCCATGTTCTAGCTGCTCTGGAGAAGTAGGATGGGGTGATGGTGCCTAGACACTGAGCTGTGACCTGCATTTGAATCTTGGTTCTACCACTTATCAACTCCATAACCTTTCATAACATACATTTCTTTTCTTTCTTTCTTTCTTTTTTTTTTTTTTTTGAGACATAGTCTCACTATGTCACCCTGGGCAGAGTGCTATGGCGTCACAGCTCACAGCAACCTCAAGTTCTTGGGCTTAAGCGATTCTTTGCCACAGCCTCCCAAGTAGCTGAGACTACAGGCACCTGCCACAACGCTCAGCTATTTTTTGGTTGGAGTTGTAATTGTTATTTGGCAGGTCTGGGCTGGATTTGAACTTGCCAGCTCCAGGGTATGTGGCTGGTGCCCTAGCCGCTGAGCTACAGGTGCCGAGCCATAACATACATTTCTGTACCTCAATGTTTTCATCTGTAAAATGGTGTAATAATGATACCCACTTGATAAGATAGTGGAGAAGATTGAGTTAGACACACTGAGAATAGTGCCTACTGCATAGTAGTGCTCAATAAATATTATCTCTTTTTAACCCATTAGTGGGAACTCCAGCTGCACCACCAGAGCCAATGGAGCATGTATTTGGGGGTGGTCATGTTGTTCCTTCAAATCCCATCCTTGGCTTATCCACTTTGCTTACAAGGAGCTTCTTCTCTCACATGGGTATACACTTCTGGCAGAACTCAGCCTCTCCTTGGTATCTCTGTTCTAGCCTATCCCTGAGCCCTGCACATGAAGCTGAGGGAGTGGAAGCATCCAGTCTAGCCCTGGTGGTGACCTAGTCAAGACCTTTCCACCACACTCTGGGTCATCGGAAAGGCTTGCTCACCATGTAGGCTAGCCAGCTTCCAAGGAATTCATCAGTGACTGGAATTGGGGTGTGTGTGACCCTCATCTGCTCCCAGCGTTTGCCCCTTCCTTCTCCACACCCTAATTTCACCTCTGGAGTTGGACTAATGCTCCATAATCGTAGGCAGGGTGACAGCAAGGTGTGATGGATGGACAAGGAGCCACGGAGTGGCAGGGCGCTTGGTCAGAAATCCAAGGCTGTGTTTATGAGACGGAAGAGGCTGTTTCCTGGAGCAAGCATAATGCAGCTCTAAAAAAGGCAGGGGAAATACATCATGCAAGAGAGCATAACCCTGGGAGGGCCGCTGGGAATCCGAGTACCAGAGAAGCCCTGGTAGGTCAAGGTGCCTCTGACAAGGCCTTTTTTATAGGCCATTTGCGTGAGGGTTTGCTGCTGTTCCCTGAAGAGCTGACAGCCTCTCAAGGTCTCAGTAGGGAGCTTGAAAGCTAATCTTAGACCTTCTCTACTGGCCCTGCCATGCATTTAGAAAAGAAATAACAAACTCTATTGTTTAAAATAAAAACCTGCAAACGTGACAATTTTGACTGTTGACTCTTGTGTTGCTGCAAATAGATTAAGACCATCAGCTCCTTCCCGTTCCTCCAAACCCACCACAAAAGAAAATTTAACTGGATTCTCCCAATGATCAAGAGAAGTACCAAAATGTGTTATCCCCAAAGGGTGTGTTTTTTTCTTTCTTTCTTTCTTTTTTTTTTGAGACAGAGTCTCACTATGTCACCCACAGTAGAGTGCTGTACTGTCATAGCTCACAGCAACCTGAAACTCTTGGGCTTAAGTGATTCTCTTGCTCAGTCTCCCAAGTAGCTGGCACTATGGGCACCCACCACAATACCCAGCTATTTTGTTGTTGTTGTTGCAGTTATTGTTGTTTAGCAGGCCCTGGCCAGGTATGAACCCACCACTTTCAGTGTAGGTGGCTGACACCCTAACCACTGTGCCATGGGTGCAGAGCCCCAAAGGGTGTTATTATCTCTGTTTATTACTAAGGGTTCATGTTCTTCTGACTTCTTTGATGATCCTATTGTGTTATAAGGGGACTCAGGATAAAATGAGAATTCTGTATTAGTTTCCTACAGCTGCTGTAACAATTAGTAGCTTTACACAACAGATATTTATTCTCTTACAGTTCTGGAAATAAGTTTGACTGAGTCTTTAAGGTTAAAATCAGGGTATCAGTAGGGCTGATTCCTTCTGGAGGCTCCTGAGGAAAATGTTTTCCTGCCCCTTTTAGCTTCTTGTGGTGCCTGCAGTTCTTGGCTTGTGGCTGCCCCTCCATCTCATCTTCAAAGCCAGTGGCCAAGTATCTTCTATCTTGAATCTGTTCCCCTCTGTTGCCCTGTAGACTTCTTTTCTTTTATGGTCTAATCTTCCTCTGCCTTCCTCTGATAGGACATTTGTGATTAATTTAGGGGCCACCCAGATAATCCAGAATAATTTCCCCATCTCAAGATCCTGCAAAGTCCCCTTGGCCATATAAGTTGGTTACAGGGATTAGGACCTGGATATCTTTGGGGATTGTGATGTTTAATTTTATGTGTCAGATTGACTGGGGTAAGGAATGCTCAGATAGTTGATGAAGCATTATTTCTGGTGCTCACTTTGGCAGCACATATACCAAAATTGGAGCTATACAGAGAAGATGGGCACAGCCCCTGGGCAAGGATGACATATAAATTAAAAAAATAAAAAGTAAAAAACCCACCCCACATTATTTTTGGGTGTGTTTGTGAGGATGTTTCTGGAAGGGATCAGCAATGAGTCATGTAGTGAGTAAAGAGGACCCACCCTCACCCATGTGGGTGGGCATCGTCCAACGTGTTGACTACTTGAGTAGAACAAGAACGTGGAGGAAGGGCGAGTTTGTGCTCTTTGCTGGAGCTCAGACAGCCCTCTCCTCCCGCCTCAGTGCTGCTGGTTTCCAGGTTGCAGGATTCAGACTAGCACGTTGACCATCAGCTGCTCAATTCTCAGGCCTTCAGACTTGGACTAAATCACATTACCGGCTTTTCTGGTTCTCCAGCTTGCAGATGGCAGATCGTGAGACTTAGCCTCCATAATCACATGACTGAATTCCTACAATAAATCCCCCTTCATATACATATATAAGAACCAATATATCCTATTTGTTCTGTTTCTCTGAAGAAACTTGACTAATAGTCAGCCTGCCATGGCCTCAAGTAATCATAGAACTTCACTGAGCATTTACTGTGCACCGGCGGTTGTGCTAAGTGCCTTGATGCAGGTCCTCTTTTTACTCTCCAGCCCTATGGAGTAGATATCGCCTGTAACATGCAGACAGTAACAACTAGCGTTCGATTAATTCTTAGTATGTGCCAACCTCTCTTCTTGAATTTTAGATGTAGGAGGTTGGATAATTAAATTCACAAATTCATCCTAGAAAAAGTGCTACATGCCTCATTGCTGAATATCACAACAGTCATATTGGCCTTGGCCATCTGGTGACCATTGTGATATTCAGCCATGAGGTACATAGCACTTTTTCTAGGATGAGTTCACGATCTTAATTGTCTGACCTTGTATTAACTCTTTTAACCCTCCCAGCAACTTATAAGGTAGGTTGTATTATTTTTTCCAACTTAGAGATGGGGAGGGAGGCCTAGAAAAGTAACTTTCCCAAGATCTAGGGAGAAGCAAAATTGAAATGTGAACCCAATCACATAACTACTAAGCATCCTTCCTGCCAGTCGGCTTTGTTCTTCCTACTTCATAGCAGAGGAGTTTACCTGGCTCTTGGTTGTCCTTATTCCACTGACAAAATGAAAGTGTACTGTGATCTCAGGGTCACCTAGAAGGTCAATTGACCATAAGTCAGTTTTGTTTCATTGCCTACGTGTGTTCCTTTGCATTCAGTATTGACTTATAACCCCTTTGAAACTAAACATTCTTGGAGGAATAATATGTTGTCAGTAATACCATTGTGTGAATAGCTTTACCTACCAGGTAGTTTTTATAAAACACAGAGAAGCATGAATTCGAAGGGTTACAAAAGAGAAAGCTGACATGCCAGGGTTGAAAATTATGAAGAAGGGGATGGAGGATTAAAGATTGAGGAATAAAACAAACTGGCTTCTCCCCTGGGAAGAAGAGGTCATGGTGAGAAAGGGAAGAGAGAAAGGTGGGAGAGAGGGGAGAGAGAGAGAAAGAGGCTTAACAAATGAGAACTGGAGTTTTTTGAGTTTTGAACCCACTGAAGTTAAGTTTCCTTCAAAGTAGCCCTGTTGAAATTGTGGAAATGAATATAAAACCCAGGCACTGGCGTGGATACTTTATTGGAAAGAAGGTGGACAGAAGAGATGATAAAAGGGACTCATTTCATCAGAGTTTCATCCCAGTAAAACCTTTGTCCATTATCGCAATCTATTAATTCAAGAAATATTGAGCTGCCACTGGAAAGGCTTCCACCATCACATATACAATTATGATGGAATTCCAAACTGGCAACTCACAGACCTACTTCTGGAAGCAGTATTTTTGCCAGCAAAGCATTTTAAAAACTGAATTAGTTTTTCTTTTCTAAGTTAACACATGTACTTTTAGCTCCTCTACTTCCCATATTCTCTATTGGCATATTCCCAACATTACTTATTCGGGCCCTGTAGGCGTTTGAGTTTGCAACCTTTGCCATGTGATAGAGGCTGACAAACTTTCGGAATGAAAGCTGCTAAGCTAAGGAAAACTATGTGTACAATCATCTTAGTAACTCTAGAAGGTCACACACCTGGCTTTCAGCCTCACTTGCCCACTAAGTGTACCCCATTAGAAGACCCATATGTCATGAATTTTACTGCCACAAATTATAGAGTCAGATTATGTGCCATTTTGTCCTTCGTCCTTGGCTCTCCTGGGAGGCTGGAGGCTTTTTCTCCTTTTGAGTAAATTGGAAGTGTTTGTCTCAATGGCTTTTAATGGGTGGGCAAGATTAACCTCTAGTTTTGACTTGTACATGGGTTGTGTGTTCAAAAGAGTAGTTTAGGTTAAGATTTGTGGGTGGTTTCATGAGCTGAGAGCCAATCTTACATCAGATGATTTCACCAAAAGCGACTGGCAGGTCTAAAAGAGAGCTTAGACTTATTCATTCATTCAACAAGTACTTATTTTATGCTAGCATTTCGCATAATAGAAATGAAAGACAAAGTTGCTATCCTAATGAAACTTAAGTCTGATAGCACAACTATTCAAAAATCATGTATGTAGTCCAGTACTTTTTTTTTTTTTTTAGATAAGTTCTCACTCTACTGCCCAGGCTGAAGTGCAGTGGCAGCGTCATAACTCACTGTAACCTCAAACTCTTGGGCTCAAGTGATCCTCCTGTCTCACTTTCTCAAGTAACTGGGCCTACAGGTATGTGCCTGCACTCCTATCTAATTTTTAAATTGTTTTGTACAGACGGGGTCTTACTATGTTGCCCAGAACCGATGCTTTTAGTATATAGACAAAGGAACCAGGATCAGATTGGGGACATGAACGATCTAAAGTCACACAACTTGTAAGTGACAAAACTAGAACTGAAAATAAGGTTTGACACTGATTTCCTGGCTTTTTCTGCTTTCTACTTTCTTCGTACTGCCACACTTTTCTTAATAGTTTTTATCTGCTTTCACCTTCCACAGTGATCTATCCCAAACTACCCTTCTACTGGTGTTGACCTTCCTGAGGTCTCTTGAGCTTGATTGTCTATTGAGTCTCCTATTTTCAAGAATTGAGCTGAGCATGTGGCTCATGCCCTTAATCCCAGCACTTTGGAAGCCAAGGCAGGAGGATTCCTTGAGGCCAAGAGTTTGAGGCCAGCCCAGGGAACATAGTGAGACATCATTTCTGCAAAAAAATATGAAAAATTAGTCTTGTATGGTGACATACCCTTGTAGTTCCAGTTACTTGGGAGGGTAGGGCAGGAGGATTGCTTGAGCCCAGGAGTTCAAGGATACAGTGAACTATGATCCTATACTGCAGAGTGGGCAACAGAGCAAGACACTGTCTCAAAACAAAGTATAGAATTGAGCATTTTGTCCCATATTTATAGAGAAACTTTCCTTCTTTATTGTTACATTATGTTCCTCCCTCCATTTAAGTTACATTCAAAGGCTTCAGCACCTCTGGCAACTATTACATTTCTACAACTGGATTAAATTCTTGTTTAAATGGGTTAATTTTACAGAAGAGTGTATACTATATGATTCCATTTATATGAAATTTGAGAGGGATATAAATATGGGCACACCAATTCTATTGTATGGCTGATTTATGTATAATAAAAACTATGCTTGAAAAAATATTTTTTTTTCTGAGACAGAGTTTCACTTTGTCACCCCCTGTAGAGTGCTGTAACATCACAGCTCACAGCAACCTCCAATTCCTGGGCTCAAGTGATTCTCTCGCCTCAGCCTCCCAAGTAGCTGAGACTACAGGCATCTGCCACAATGCCTGCCAGGATCTCGCTATAGTTCTGGCTAGTCTCAAACTAGTGAGCTCAGGCAATCCACCCACCTTGGCCTCCCAGAGTGCTAGGATTAGGCATGAGCCACTGCACCCAGCCTTGAAAAATTCTTAAAGTTTAGCAAATGCACATATCCATGTAACCATCACCAAATTGAAGAAATAAAACATTTCCATCCTCCCCAAAAGTATTGTTGAAAATGGCAGGATTTCCTTCTTTGTAAAGGCTGAATAGTATTTGACTGTGTATATACACCACATTTTCTAAATCCATTTATCCACTGATGGATGCTTAGGCTAATTCCATATCATGGCTATTATCAACAGTGCTGCAGTGGACATCCGAGTGCAGATACCTCTTTGACATATGCTGCTTTAATCTCTAAAATATACTACGTATACTCAGTTTTTTTTGAGGAATCTCCATACTGTTTTCCATAATGGCTGTACTAATTACATTCCCAATAACAGCCTACCAGGGTTCCCTTCTCTTCACACTCTCACTGATACTTTTGTTTTTCTGATAATAGCCAATTTTATGATAACAGGTGTAAGGTGATAGATATCTCATTGTGGTTTTAATTTGCATTTCCCTATCAGTGATGTTGAACATTTTTTTTCATATGCCTCTGGTCATTCACACGTCTTCTTTTGAGAAATGTGTATGAGGTTCTTTGCCTATTTTTAAATTGGGTTATTTGTTATTTTTGCTATTGAGGTGTTTGAATTCCTTTTATATTTTGGGTATTACCTCCTCATCAGATGTGTGGTTGGCAAATATTTTCTCCCCTTCTGTAGGTTTTCTTGTCACTCTGTTGATTACCATACCTTTTATTTGGACATCCCAGAAAGCACCGGTGACTAAGTCCCAGTCATTCCTTAACTTTAGCTTTAGCCTCTACTTCATTCTCTTCAGCCTCCACCCTCATAAATGATCTTCCTTTTTACTTCATCTTTAGCTTTATACTCGATCTCAACCTCATTCTCAGTCTTTGTCTTCTCCACAGGATCAGAAGGAATTAGTCTTATCTAAATATCATCTAACTAGTATCTGATGATGAAGAATTTCAAGTTTCCTGAGTAACCCCACCTACTCTCCAACTTGCCAGCACAATTTCTGGCATACCATCTTTCTCACACCAGTCTGTAGATAACTGTTTTCTAAAATATTTCTGTTCAATAGGCTTGTGTATTGCTTTCTTCACTAACTTGTGAGCTTCTCCAGGATAAGAATAATGGCTAT